ATAGAAAAAATATATTTGAAATTATGACCTCATATTGATATGATTATATAAATGAAATCTTTTACATATTTATTTAAAAAACAAATCTTTGAAATGACTATATATTCCTTTTATTTCACACTGGAATTGACTCAACCTGATTTAAATAATTGGATACAGAATACTCTTGGCATTAATTATTTATTGCAGAAACTCTAGACAAAAATAAATAGCCCGTTAAAAGGAAAAATAACAACCAGCTTTTGCAGTAATATTTAACTTCAATCCACAACATCCTCCACACTACTGCCATTAGATGTCCTCAGCATGATGCCCAACATTCAACCCACTTCCTCAGAGTCCAGAGGTTGATCTGGACCTGCCCTATCCTGTGACTGGACAGTGAAAGTAGAAGCAGCAAAAGTGATGAGCTTACTTTGCTCGCTCTGCTTTATCCCCCTAGCGGCATGCTTCTTGTCAGCACATGAAATGATTGTCTCCTTGTGCTGCTACCTATCACTCTTCAGTCCTGCTGTACAGGGTCTGCAAGAGGCTGATACCAGGTTAAAATTCAGATACTTACACTGCTTGCATTTAAAAAATACATTAACAGTATTAACAATAACGGTTCACAAAAGGGTGAAGAGTTTGGAGGAGGCAGGAGAAGTGAACAATCTAGGACAACATAGCTGCACTGGAAACGTTCTCCAATTCAGCTATGTTGTCCTAGATTTTTCACTTCTCCTGCCTTCTCCAAACTCTTCACCCTTTTGTGAATAGCCCTGTTAATGATTTATGAATGATTACAAGGCTGCATTATTGGGAGTCTTGTATATCTGCCGAGACTTCAGCTTTAAGTGGGGATGAACTCTCCGAATCTAATATGCCAGTTTCCGTAGCTGCTAACAATAAAGCAAATTTATATTATACACCAGGCATATGTATCACCTCCGGAACTATATAAAATTAGTTCAGAATGTCTGAATTGTCACAGACAGGATGTCCTATTTTGCCATCTAAATTAGGACTGTCCAGCTGCCAATTACTTTAAAAGGAAGCAATTTCTGTCCAGAGAAAAGGGGAATGTGTGCGGTTTACTATTTAACAGGAGTACTCACTATAGACTATAGATCCCCATGTTAATTTTATACTCCACTCTATAAAACATGTTATACACAAAGAGAATGGCCAAATCACCAAGATGACTCAAAGTAGAATCCAGTGTAGTTTATTCGGGCTTGACAATACAGATGATGCGATTCATTGTCATTCTGACAGCTGGAAAGGCATTGCTATCTGAAGCCTTGTATAACATGTGTAGAACCCTCATAACACAATGAGGGATGAGATGAAAAGAAACTGGGAAGAAGAGGCTGGGTAGGAGTGTGATGGAAGATGCCACTGTAAACAGAAATGAAGCTGCAGTAACACTAATCTACCACTAGTTGTCAGGAGCATACATAACATGATGGTAAGAATGAATATATTGCAGTGCCACAGAAACAACACAAAATGACAGCGGCTGTGGCAGCACAACATCCATGTTTCACTTATGACCTGTTTCTTTTATTGTCAGTGATTTAGAATAATCTCTATATCTCCTTGGGATATTAAAATTCTTCTGCCTTTAAAATGTAAATGTGTAGATAGTTTTTTTAGACTTCATATTATCTGTATTTAAATGGTGTCTCCCTTAGATGTATAGTACATGTTTAGATAATAGTTAAAGTATATCTGAAGGCAACGTTTTGTTATTTATCTTCTGTCTGTTAGCCTCAATCTTAGCTCCACAGAGTCGCATGATCCCCTGACAGCCCATGTTCCAAGGGCTATACAGGAATCAGCTGGCATTGCTGGAATGCTGTTGTCAAATTTGCAAGTTGTCGCTTTACAACTCCTAGTGCCTGATGCTTTAAGCTGTGCCAGTGCTCCAGGTGGCTAGCCCAGCCAAAGAAACCACAGGCCACAAGACACAGTACTTACGAGGTTATGTGTTGGATACCTGTGGTGTATACCATATATCAGGGGCAGGCAAACCTCAGCCCCCCCGGCTGTGGAGAATCTACAAATTCCATCATGCATCTGCACTCTGGAAGCCGTGGCTGTGTTATGGCAACACTTCTGGTGGCTAAGAACCAACTGGTTTTCACCAGAGCTCCTGGTGAGGGAGATGGGTTTTGCTGTGTGCTGGCACCAGGTTGCAGTCTCAGGATTGCCCTACCAGGGAATGAGTGGGGGACTAGGATGTTACGATGTAGAGACGGTACACCAGGGAGAGACTAGAGAATGGTCAGGTCCTGGCAGAGGTTGTAGGCAGGCAGCAGGCAAGTGAGTGGTCAGCTTGATGCGGGTCAACAACAAAACATGCAATTTGTAATGTATTCTGGTTCTTTTGACACAAAGTAGGGTAACTCCTAGGAAGACCCAGCACCAGCCATTTCCAGGATTAGTGCTTAAATACACCTTGGTTCAAGGGGCACACCCAGCATTTTTAGGGAAACCTGGAATTCCTGGAAGGTATTCTGTGAGCAGCATTGGACGTGCTGGCAGAAATTCTGCAAATGCCAATAAACGTTTTGGCAGGGATTCTGCAAACACCATTAGTAGTAATGGCAGACCCAGAGGTATTATAACAGGCTGTCAAGAGTTCCAGTGCCCCTGTATTCTCTTGACAATCATGGACATTTTTCTATTATCTGCTATCATGTTAACATTGTCATTTGCCTCTTCTACATTGTAAGCATTCTCCGTTTAAACAGCACAGGCTGAGATTTGACAAATGAATAAGACAAAAGAATAAGAATAAAGAATTCACTTGTTTAGGAGTCTCTAACAGATGACATTAACACGTGTATTTCTATATTCTTCTGTTTCATGGTGTCTTGCTAGTGGGAACATAAATGGGAGACCGAGCAAAAGGGATTCCAGTCTGCTGTTCTCTAAACTACCACAAGAGAGCAGTAGAACCTCAACAACTTCTAGCTCATTGCTGCGACTGACACCAAGATGTCTTCACAAATTATATTAAACTTGTACTTACAAAGATGGACATGAAAGTGTTAACCTTAATTTCAGGTTTTCATTTCTTTTGTAAATGTTCGCTTGTTCTGCAATTCTCACTTCATTAAAAATCAATCCCTTCCCATAATTCTCTATTGCCGGCCAGTCACTTGTACCGGACTCAGGGTCATTGCACCAAATCATCTGCGAGACCACAATTGTAAAGTAATAAGCCATTGCAGTATCTCTTCTGTGACTCATATTCTGGGAGTATAATTCTGTGCTTTGTTGCCGTCATCATGCTTAATTCAACTATTGTCTTGTGTGTCTTTTCACAGTATTATATTGCATTTTCTCGAATGACGTAAAAACATTTACATCAGTAAGTTGCATTGCATGCCCAAGTATGAAAGGAGATTTCAGTTGCATAGATCTTGATGGCAAATTAGTGGTTTGGATGTAACCAGTTCAAGACGATTGCAATGAAAATGGTTAGATAAGCAGATTTCTCTCTTTGAAAAAATTACAGTGGGAGGAAGGCTCCTGATTTCCCTTCAGTACCAATTAAGCACATTTGTACAGTGTGCGCAAAAACTGTCCTCGCTCAGTCATTGATGCTTTGTAGCTTCACATGCAAACTGAAAATGGAGGGAGCTCAGGATGTGCAAAATGGTCACATCTACCTTCTGTTGAAATAAACGGATATATATATAATATATATATATATGTATATATATATATATATATATGTGTATATATATATATATATAT